GGTCGTCTATAAACCATTGTGGTTATTATGAAAGGCATAAGAGGATGAGTTATTTGCAGAAGCGTGGAAATCCAAAGCTAGTAAACAATTTTATGCTTCACTGCGTTTGATGTTCAGTGGATGGTTTCAAATCGATCTCCAAATTAACCAATCCAAATCGCTTTTAATCAAGAGCTAAAAGATTGAAAAACAGTTTATTTAGAGGCAAAGTAGTGATTGCAGTCTAGTCAGGTAAGTTAAAGTTAATTTAATGAGCCAGCCTTTGAAAGAAGTGAGCTAGAAGTAGTCAGTCAGTTTCGAAAACGAAAAACTTCTAAACTTAAAGATTGGCGTATAATGTGGAGAACTTACAAAGAAACAATATACTAAGTTTAATTTTTCCGCTCTAGCAGCCTATTTCGCTGTCTTTCGATTTCTACGTTCGATCCTCATTTTTTTTCCACTATGAAATTCAAGACGTCCCTCCACTCATCAACCAATCTTTCTACGCGAAAAAAAAAACCCGTAAAAACTATCATAGTCACATGATGATGAACAACTAAAATATCAACAATTATATTCTTCACTGCAGGCAAAAGGAGAATTGGAATGTTTTGACAAAGGAAATTTAAATTCTTAATTTCGTTCGAATTTATGCATCTGTCAGGACTAAAAATGATTACTTTGAAATGACAATAGCTATAACCAGCGCCTGATATGTATTATCCGCAAATCTCTGAAATAGGAAATTACAATGAAGAAATCCATGATGTATGCATGCTCAGAAATAAACTTGGAAATAGACATAAAACCATACTTGTACTTTCTTCTAAAATCACAGCAACTTCAGAAGTGAAAGAAGCATCATAAACCCCTTGCATCGAAAAAGTCCTGTTTGCAACAAAAGCTTTCACGGCACTGTAAAAAAAAAAGAAATTAGATGACGTCAAACTGCAACCTACAAATCGTGAATATTTTATAGTGTTATACGAGCAAAGTCTAGTTAAAATTTTGTGCGACAAAACAAGGTGCCGAAAGCTGATATTCTGAACTTCTAAAAGAATTTTTTAAACACAAAATTACATTTACATAATAATTAGAGAAGTGAAAAAACGAGGCTTATATGAATTAAAAATAAAGTAAGTGCCGAATAATAGAATTAACAGGAACATCTTGAATTCGTACAAATCAGCAGGAGTTCATACTTCAATAGCTCTGCTTTTTGACTCGAAGAATGATCCAAAATTCTGATGCCTCTGTTATAACGTTCACCACCTTCATGTAAGGCTAGCACACTGCAGTTTTTCCTGACATAATAATGCACATTGATGAGAAGCATTATATCACCAGGCTAAATGAAATTTATGTTTTAATTCCTAAATTAAAATCCCAAACCGAGAGGCGCATATTCAAATTTCTCAATTCAACATATAATGTCCACTGCTATGTATTCTCGAAACTGCATGAACTGGACTTTTGAAATTGTAGAATCACCTTAACAGTTCTTTTCAGACAATCTCCATGTTCATCATAAAAAACTACATCGCAAAGATATTCCTTAGCCATTGAATTCAATTCTTCATCAGCATGTATCGTTTCAGAAATATTTTCATTCATAAAGAAAAAGAAAAAGAACTGCAATGCAAAAATCTTATCCATTACTGATATAAATAGCCTCTAAGTGAAATTTCTCAAAATTATTTACTAAAAATAGTTCCTTCATATCTAACCAACTATGAACTCCAGGCTTTTACAAGACGAACAAAATCAGAAAATTGAGTGAAACAATTAGTACAAACCTAATTTCTAAGTGAATTCCAAAGGAAGCATATTATTATAACTTGATCATTGAGTCTTCGACTGATATAAACAAATAAAGTGAATCAGATATCTGGGTGGTTTCGTATATTACCCCTATCACTTATGAATATTGATACTGCCTGCAATTAAAGATATGTGTACATTTCGTCCTGGTATGAAAATGAAAAACGATTAAGCAACGTCAAAGCAACAAGAGAAGAGTGACATTTCTGACGATCATGAATATCAATTTTACTTGACTTGCTGAGAATTTGCTTAATTTTTCTTTTACTTCCTCTTAATGTCACAAAATGGAAGCAAAGTAATATTGGAACTTAAAATATTAGTCTAAAGTCGATATCAGTATTGAAATTTCGAATATTTTAGGAAAATCTTGATCACATGTCCTATTATTCTCAGTTTCCATTTAGTTATTAGTTGTTAGCTACAAATTAAAACACTACAATTTAATTTTAATACCTGTACAACAATGTTATGATATTGAAAACGTATGAGTTGATCCAAACGACAAACTGTTTTATTTTCATTATTAAATCCAAGTGTATTGCCAAAAATGGAATTAGCTACAGGCGAGACAACAGGCATATCACTTGAATAACCTTGAACAAGCAGACCTAAAAAAACCTAAAAACAAACAGATATATATTGTAAGATTTCAAGACTGAAAAAAAAAATCATTAATCAATATTTGTTTACTGCAGTTCTTGGATAATTATCGTACCAAGGTAGACTTGGATTTGCTAAACAAATCTAAATTAATCGTGAAAAGCAAGTTAACCGGAGAAATTTAATACATTTACCAACTTGACTGAAGAAATTTAATACATTTGAACATTTAGAGAAGAAACGAAATTCATGCAAGATATTTATTAAGAGTTGGCATCCGAAGACGCGGTATTCCAAAAAAAGACGAAAAACCTTATCAGTTAGTTTAAATTGATCATTTAAAGAACACAGAACCAGTCTTTAAAGTAACCTAAAATAAATTTAATAAGCTATACCATTTTTTGGCAGTTTTCGGATACACTGTAGTTAGCAGATGAGTGGAAAATAATATTGAATGGTTGATATGTAATTAATGCGACAGCGAATCCAGCCACATTCAGTTTTCCATACAACGATGGTGGCCTTCCCCGATTGGTTCGGATCTATCATCATAAAAAATAATTATGGAAGTATATGAGCATTTAATTTTATTTATACGAAATTCACAGGACTATGAGAAAATTGGCATTTATTTTATTGGAAAATGAAATGACAGGTGACCGACCAGGGATCAGAATCACTGAAAACTGCTTACGTGAACTATTCGAATTAATGATGTTGTATTGTCTACTTATTTCCATTCCAGTGATAAGTAACTTACGTGGATATGATTAAGTTGGATAATTTGGTCAGTTTTAATTCTTTGCGGAAATGTATCCGTCAATTCGCTATATACGGTGCATCGTATAAAAGGACCCGCACTAGAATCCCGCAAATATATAACACTGACTATCTGCACTGAAAAATGAAGCAAATTTCAGATGCTTTCTACAAGACAGTCTATAATAGAAATGTTTGAATGAAACAAAATTTAACGGAGAGCCATAACTTTTCTAATGGAAAATAGGCAAATATAAACTGCAGGATGAATACAATATGGCTTTCCTCTATCTTTCATTTTTTTTTTTTTTTTTTGTCTCTAATCAATTCATAAAATTGAATCTTATGCTGACACAGTAAACAAAAGATTGGGACAGAGACAGTTACACTACTGGAATGAACTTACCATTTTCCAAGATATCAACCGACCGGATATTTCTCACTTCAGCAACCTTAGCAAACACATGAATCTGCAAAAGTTTTCATTTGTCGAACTCGGAAGAAAGCTTAAGTAAGAACAAGAACAGAGTGATCACTGAATCAGCTGGTCACCGGTGAATGAGTCGATCAACCCAACAATTAACTTTAATCTTTTCTCAGCAGTCCATTGAATGAAATGAATTACCGCCCAATAACACTCCTTGTACATATTAAAGACAAGGATAGTCGCTGAATTCGAATCGACACTATTTCATGATTCCATGAATCTCCTACTAAATTGCTGGAATGTGACGGGCCGCACCTGTCACCAGATAATAATTAACACTTATCTTTCTTTCCGTGTTGCACTTCCTCAGGTCACTTAGACTCGTATACGAATACTCGTCTGTGGTTGCATAATACCCTATGATGCTTCCTCTTTTTCACAAATTCCAGCTCATTATGCGAGCTAAAAAAAAAGTACCTATTACCATAACATCTTCCATCTACCCGAATTTTGCATTAGAGATAGCAAAATGCGATTTCATTTCGCTATTAATAGACATTAATAGAAACCGAAAACCCTACACCAATCGCTCAATTGCAGTGGGCTGAGATTAGCTCGTGGATTTGCTTATTTGACCTTGACTGAAATGTATCAACGTATGACAAAATGCTCATCGAGTAAACTCGCCTGAGCCCGTTCTTTACGTTGACAAAACTCGCTAATACAATCACAGAACACCTTGCATAGACATTCAGGAATTTATCGACTTGGCCGTACCGCAAATTTCTAAACATGCATTTCACACCAGCTCATGTTTGCTACAGGCTCACCGAGTCATCCGATAACCAGGATTTAACGAAGTCGACAAACCAAAAGAGCCATTTAGAGATATCCCATCAAGGGGAAATTCCGCTGGTTCAATTTAATTCCTTTGATTAAATGAACTAGTCGAATTCAAATTAGTTCCTCCCACTTTAGATTGATTAAAAAAGAGTCCTGTATATTTTTTGATTACATCACAACAAGCATGTACAGCGCACCACGCTATGATAAAGATAACTAAATGCATATGATAAAGGTGACAAATGATAAAGATGACCAAAGACAACAATAATGTAATGAAAATATAGCACAATAGACTGCATATATCTTGAAAATTGATTTGTTTGTACCGATATCTAGTCTTTACAAAGTTATAACATCCCATTATAAACAAAGAAATATAATAAGGAAATATAGTGCTTACAGAAGTTCATAATCACTTACTACGTCTCTACATACATTTGAAAATTTTAAAAAAAGGAAAAATCGCAAAAATTGCAATTTGCTTTCCTGTTAGCATCAAAACTTCAGACTCAGCAAGCAGGCACTAAATGACTATCCAGTTTATAGAAGCTTTTTGAAATTGAAAAAATAAAATACGATAATCTGTAAAAGCAGTATTCAAAGATTTCGGGTAAATCCAAATCAAAAACAATGATTACAGAAAAGAAGCAAATGGCTAGGTGAAATGTGGAAGAATGAATTGTTCGAACCAGTAAAAAAAAGAAATGTCTCGAAAACGATCCCTTCAGTTACTCTAAATTTGGTTAAAAAATCTTGGAAACGAATTAATCCTCATGTCTGAATGTTTCCCTTCTTCGTATCTTCCAGACGTGGAGTTGATCGCTTCTTATACAAATCAGTAACAAATTGCGTGCCTGCTTTACGAGCTGCACGACCGGCAATAGATCGTGGACCAAGATCCCAAAGCTGCAAAGCAGCCAAAGAAGTATGACCGGTTGCGTATAGTGCTTCATGTGCTGTTATCGAAGCTTGATTACCCCATCTGCAAATTCAAATCCGGATAAATAATAAGATATGGAAATTTCAGTAAGCAATAGATAATAATGACAAGTATCTTTAAAGTTTACTTGACACAGAATTTCAAAGAGCACGTTTTTTAATGGCAATGAAAAATTGATCTCCAGATCTGAATGGAAACCTACTTATGCCTCACAGTATCGACCGTTTCATCAGCAATACTTTTAGCCATTGTCTTAGAGACATTTTCGAGAGCAATCCATATAGTACTTGCACTGGTGATACCACTTCCCAATACATAAACTGTGCCATGAACAACACCACTCCCACTACCACCGAGGTGTTTCTCTGCACCAGACGCTAAATTCTTCCCAACTAATATACCCATATCCCCAATTTTATCCACTAAAATGAAGAATTCTTATATTTTTAAGAAATAAGGGAATGAAGCTAGTATTAAAAGATTCATGGAACAGAAATAATTTAAAAAAACATTTGAAATGAATAATATAAGTACACCAGACCCACATAACAGCAATATTTAACTAAAGCTAATGTAATTTCGATCATCTACAGAATGTTACCTGCTACCTATTCTCCTCTCTTCCCCTTTTACCGTAAAAGTGATTTATGGATTGGAAAGAAAATTGTAGTAAATTAATCAATTTATCAATTTACCATCCAATCGACATTTTTAGAATTTACAAACTCAGAATTTTATTAAGCTACCCGCGAAGGAATTGCAATTCATCTTTTTGGGAAATGTGTTAATTACTTAGCTGCTAACTCTATACGATTTTAAAAACCAAAAGAAATACGAAACTTACATAGATACTTTGTGCACTTCGCGACCACTTTGCTACCCTTGTGAACATAATGTATACCGAATCTGATGCCTGAATTTATTTGCAGTGGTTCTTGATCTGGGGCAAGTGAAGACCGAATTTGTGCTGATTTGTCAGACACGATTTTGGATGTCTTCTGGCCAACATTATTTATATTTGTTGCCAAGTAATCACCACCTGTATAGAATTTTGCAAAAATAGATTTTTGTGATCGACTAGTTCACAGGGTTCCAAGTATTTTATTCAAAATACACATCCTAAATTTTCATCTAGAAGAAAAATTCCAACATATGAGGAAAAAATAACCTCTCATCAAGAAATCGCCAATTTTCTGACTAAGATGCTCCCTTTCTTCTTTACTCATTTGGCGAGCAAGTTCCTGGGTTCGTACCTCGGTGTAATGCTTCAATATTGAGTAGAAATCATCTTCATCCTTAGTGTTCAGATTTTTCGGCAAAAGGATCCCAACAAACATATCTGCAACATACAAATGTATAGTTAGCAATACGATTAACTGAAACTCGAAGAGTTGTCAAGATTTAAAGAAAGCTTTTTTTTAAAAAAAGATTTTTTAAAAAAAGCTCAAGAAAAATTCTACTACAAATCTAACGGTATTGCCTGGATGCTCTGGAGTTGGGTTTGGCATTACGTAAGCGCCAAAATCATTTTTCAAAACTGGTGTTTTTCCACGAACCAATGGATATGACCATGGACCAACCTAAAATCATGCAGAAAATAATTATAATTCGTGGCTCTGTCATAAAGGAATGCATGCAATAAATGATCGGACAGTTTCTGCAGTCCTCACAACTAATGCTTGCTTTTCCAATTGCAAGCCAAAACTTGTCTGTCATTTGAAAGCAAATCATGAAACCAAAAAATTGGAATATAAACTACCTTGTCCACTTAAAAGTGGCTCGTATATTTCTATTTCGCACCAGTATTAAAAAAAAAGCATAAATTGAAGACTTTTGAACCTAAACGAAACCTTCGGCTTAAAGGCTGAAAAGGAAAACAGGAATATGCTATTTCATTCGGAGGATGATAAATATCCCTTCGATCTTTAGCCTGCCATAACTGATGACAAGACATACCTGCATAAATGCTTCCATCTGGATAGTTTCTTTTTGATTTGGAGGGAACCGGAAAATTTCTAGAGAAGAAGGAATAGTTGGAGTTGAAGTACTTTCATTCTGAAAATGAATAGGCTCGAAACTTTTAGGTTATCGAGAAACCTCGAGTGGTTTACTTAAAATACATCGTTACACCAACGATAATTTTTCTTCCATCAAACTTACAAATGGTAGCAAAAACTTTAACCTACCTCAACAATGAAGAGCTGTACTCCATCTGGTATGTAATATATCAGATCTGCCTCTATAGTGTGCACTGATTCGATCTGCTTTTTCAACTCCTTTTTGTTATAGAACTAAACATTCGTACTATTTGATTGAATTTTGTTTATTTTCTTTAAGAATCTGTCCAAAGTAGTGATTTCCAACCGATGGTCAGCGAGCACTAATATTACAATATTACTTTAAATTTAACTAGTGCATCAAAAGTTTTTATTAAATATACCTTCAAATTAACAGTATTATTTTTCTGGTGTTCCATGCTATAAATAAAAAAGCCAAAGCGACCCTCCGTCAAAAAAAGGTTAGAAGCCACTATTCTAAAGCGTAGTCAGAAAAGTTCGCGATATGATTTTCAACATAAAAAGTGATCATAAAAAAAGACCTGTTCATTTTCCATTTCAATCTTTTCGCTGTCCAATGCGGCATCTTTGACTTGTTTCTGTCTTTTCTTATTTGCATTTAAATCCTTCATCCTTGCTTCCACTCGACCCTTACCTTCCATTACTACTTTATACATGGCACTTTTTTTGAAGTTCTTTCCCTTCGCTGCTTCTTTTATAAGCAACAAACTTCGATCATAAAATGCCAGTGCATTTTCCTAAAACTCATCTCTTTTAAAAATGAACAATTTTTAGATGATAGCTCATCAGTTGAAAAGCTTTTTCCTCTTAATTTTCCACTGATTCTTTCTCGACTCAGCAATACCAACACATACAAATAAGCAAAACTAACAATGTCGTCGATTTCATCATAGCAAAGGCCTTGTTCCATGCAAGCACACGCTTCACAATACAGTTCACTGATGTCACGATTTGTCGGCATCTTGTATTTATGGTAACACCACAGTTTCACTCTTCTGCTAACAATTTGTATGCACACGCCAATATGTTGTACGTTTACGAAGTCTTACCAAATAGAGTTCAACATCTTTCAACGTTACAACTCCATCGCTTACAAAAAAGATAACAAATTTGGGGGGATGTTACGTACATGATGGCTTCTAACATTAAGCTATTAATGGACAGTTCCTAAAACCACAGCAATTCGTAGTTTGTCCAGATGAATCAGAGCTTAAGAAAGAAGTCAAGTCACTAACACAAGAAAAAAAAGGATCTGAGCACAGTTCTGAAACACATTAGAAGGATACCAAACGAAATTTATATTACAAAAGGGAGAGAGTATGCGTCAAATGATACATACTGTACATACGTCAAATACAAAAGACGCTTGGGATGGGATGTTAGGATAGGTTATAGAGATCAATTGGAAGTAAATATTTCACGCTTAATAGGATAGCAAGTACACAGGAGTTCCTTTCCTTCTAGGCTACAAAATAAGGAAACTACGAAGATCACCTGTAAATCTGTCCTCCTTCTAATTGCATGACACCTGGCATGAGAGGTAGAAATCAATGAAAGGTGCAAAACGATGAAGATGCAGAGTTCTATGTGAGTTAGGTAGGAGGTTGGATAGAGACTGCGTAAAATATAGAAATAAACATCACAAATGTGATCAATGTTCAAAGTAGCGATTTACACTGTTAGACAGGATCGGATTATCCAGATGACAACTGGGCCTTAGGCAGGCTGACAGTCGATTCACACAGATCAAATGGATGAATAATCAGCTTTGATTCGAACATTTCCTTAATAACCGCACCAGTGGATGAATCATCGCTCTTTCTATGCATATTCCTGAGAGTCTCCTACCCTACATTTGTCATCTACTTAAACAGTAAACTCAAACTATACGGAATGAAGTGAACTTATCCAAAAATCACTCCTTCTCCTCTAGCATTCCTACATACCAACTCATTGCGTCATTTAGGGCGTTGAGTCATCAAATCTCTTTCTTAACGAACAAGTATTATTGGATTGTTTGACATAATTGTGTCATTAGGAAATTTGCGATCCTTAGCAACGCTTTGCGATTGTTTACAGCTGGATATATCGTATTTCTCGCCTCAGCTCCTCTGTCAATTTTCGAAAATTGAAGAAAGAAAGGAAATTCCTAGATGATATGAGAGGAAGTCCCATATTTCACGGAAAGTGCATACAATAAATAGTACTGTTCACTCAATAAATTCAACTTCACCAAGTTCAAAATTTCCATAGATGATCTTTTTATCCTTTTTATGTAATACCAACTCGAACGGTAAAAGAGAAACGCATCATGTGCCCTGTGCTGGTATGTCTGGCAGACATGTTCTCCACTGGAAGAGCTAATTGTCGAGATTTTGATTTCTGGTTGGTCTCACAGCGTTTTTGAATTGTTTCGATGTGATAATAATAGTGATTAAGATTAGTCGAAATTTATTCGGCGAAACATCAGGCTAGAGAAAAAGATAATAAAAGGAAATCTAAGGGATGTACCTGTTTTAATTTTTGATTTTATTCATATCCTTTCACGATAACACTGAATGTCAACAATGCTTTCTCAAGTAAACTAGACAATAATTTGATTCCCTTTGCTATTAAACAAACGCTTCAAAAAGATAAAAATCTCAAGATCATCATGCACAGAACGCGAGCAATCTCAGTTATGGAACAGTTTCAACAACTTGTGGCCACTTTTTTTTGAAGAGGGCATTTTGACCATGTCAACTCCTTTTGGGCTCTTCGAACGAAGACCGAATGTACCGGAACGACCAGAATTTTTCATTGAGAAAGCATTTTTATTCACTGAAAGCGATTTAGAAATAGTTTCGCAAAACAAAACAAACTGTCACTCCACCGCCACCGATTACTGCGCTCCACTCCCAACCTCCATTTTACAGCCCCATGAAATTTCGCAGAAAAAATTACCGTGCGGCTCTACTTTATATTATTAGGTGGTACTTCACAAAAAGAGTAAAGTAATCAGGAATATTATTGATGACAAAAAGCTGCACGAATTTTCCGAAAAAATGCACTAGAAAACTGAACCAGTAATATATCGGCAAAACTAGTGCACTACGCTTTCAGCTGATGATTCAAGCAAAATAATTCGTATGTAAGTCTATTGAAGGATACATCACGATTCATTCACCATTTCTTTTATTTTTTTTGATACACTTGCTCATCAGGCTGTTCTTTTAATTTATAATGTTTGTTTCTATTCCCTATCATCCCAAATGCAACAAAAGTTTGCAACGACCCTGCTGCTTTCGAGAATGTATCTCTGTGCCTTTGATTCAACTGAACTATTACTATTCTTCTTTCCCTCCTCCGAAAGATATGTTCATACTGAAATATTAGGGAGGAAACTTACTCGAAGAAGCGATTTCAGAATCGGAAGAACAAAGTCGTGGAGAAGGACTACGTCTTTTGGATCGATCAGTTAAAAGCACTGCGATTGGACGTCTGAAGAGCGCAGCAACTCGTTCCCATTCATCTACAGCTGAGATCTCACCGAACATCACACCAAACCGTTTCGCTAGCTTTTCACCATCTGATTCACTCACCTGCCTAGAAGTATTAGTCTTCAACAGAGAAGTATTCTGTGTATAACTGTCACTGTCAAAATTAACACATCTCTTTACACTGCTGTACTTTGCTAGCTCGCTTCTCTGAATTTTTTTCACAGAAGAGTAAAATTCTCGTCAGTCCACGTGGCATCGATGACTGAAATTTGGTTACCTTGGTAAACTTAAAAAAACTACATTTCCTTAAAAAAACTGAACTAACCAACAAACTGGACTCAAGATTTTTTAGACCACAAAAGAAAACGGCAGATCGATCGGTGAGCAACCGATAAAGAGTAATCTGATGAAGGAAAATCACAGTCCGAGAAGGTTTCTAATTTCCGGTCTAAAAAATTTTGAGTCCAGAAAACTCAGAGACCCAGAAATTTAAAATATGCATGTTTTTAAACATTGAATATCTTGCAAATAATGAAACGGAGTAAATGCTAGTCAGGCATCCTATCATTTCCTCGCAAGAAAAGTGACTTTATAAAGTGAAGTTCTTTGATCGACTTCAATTTTGCAGAACATTTTTCAAACACTTACCGGTAGCGTTCAAGATCAGTCTTATTCCCTACAAGTAAACATTTATGTTGCCGTGAGCAAAGATGATGTTCGTGGGCCGCAATCTGCTGCATTGTCGATTCTGCGTACTGCAGAGACAGTTGTGATGTTATGTCATATACCTCAAAATGGTAAACTCAAAACTTTTTTAGAAATATTTGAAAGATATTAAACTCTACTCCACGACATAACAAAGAAAACTTCATAAACAATCAAAAAGTAGTCCCATGAAGCCGTTGAATTTCATTTTATAAAACTAGCAGTGTCCCTCTTCGTGAAATAATTATCCGTTATTCACTTATAAGAAAAAAGATTGCCATCTTCTTGATGGAATTTATCCAGCCTAGGAACAAAGTAAGGACCTTGACTTTAATGAAAAGGGTTAGATTAAAAGGCTTTTTATGTCAGGAATAGATGAAAAAATGGTCATTTCAATAACGCTAAAATCAATCTACACAAACTGACAAGTCTACAGTAATTTTTCTATTTCAAGAGAACTAACAACGATGTAAACATCAGCCCACGAAAGGTAACGCATCGCATCCCGTCCTGAACCATCCACTGTATCCATCAACCAAACGACCACTGGTTGCGAGAGTAAAACATCTTGACGACAGTAAGTATCTTCTGACGATTTAAAGTTCAAATAACTTATAATTTCAAAATGTATGGAAATAACTTCTTGCTCAGTGTATGAAAAAAGTGAGGACTTTAATGGGATCAAAAATCAAAGCCTTCCTATCATTGATAGCTAGATCTCAAGACAACTGAGATCTTGACATACCAAACCTGTGGAATAAAAGGCAAAAACAAACCAAGGTTTGGATCATACTCGCCAATGAACCGACGCGCTATGTATTTCACTGCCAAAGCTGTGAAGTAAAGAACGGTAACAATGGAAAGAAATATTTGCAAATTAAGCCAAATACAGTACCGGCGTCCACAAGGTGAGGAAAAGATGAGGCAATTTAGAATTTTGAAAGACAGAGCTTAATTCTATTAGTAGAACGCACAGTTTATTAAAAGAAGTGACAGGGAAATTCAGGAAAAGCTCATTTCTAACCGATACAAATACTGTTATTCTGAATAATCTGCAAGAACGAAATACCATTGTACAATGTCAAATGTCAATAAAGCACATTATTAATTCATCTATGAAAAAAAAATGAGAAACCTAACCTTACCACTGCCATTTGTTCTTTCCTTAAATATTAATTACAATAGTGTCCGCAACAGTCGATTAAGTCAGAGTATTCCTTGTAAAGATCTAAATAATGCAATAATTCTCACCCGATTTCCCGCAACCCGTCATCCCAATCAAAGCCACATGCATTTCAATGACTGATGAACACATCATCTTTTGCTTGCAAAATTGAGAAGTTCTAAGTTGCTGCTCAGTGTTCTCCGTGAGAGAAATAAAGGAGTTCAATGAAAATCTTGCTCAGAAGCACTTCACAATCCTTGCATCCCAAACGTCAGCATCAGAGGTGGAAATGACAGCAGATCCTCTTCATTCTCTACCATAGGTGTAATAATCTTAATATCTTGTGTAATAATCTTAATATCGGCCCCTCAAACACCAAAACGATTCTATTCTCTTTCCATAATGTTCTATTCCACAGTTAAACTATCCCTAAGCCATATTTATTATGACTCCTTAAGTACGATAAGCTAAGATTCATTTCTAATAAAAATTAACCAGCAAATCGGTAAAATGAGAGAAGCTGAAGGAAAATTTAATGATTTACTGACATATTTCAAATAATGAGGATACGCTGTCAGAGATCAAAAAGATGAATTGAATACTTCTAACAATTAATGGTAACAAAACACAGTATATACAACAGAAACAAGCAAAAAAAAAAAACGGTGATTTAATTTTGGAAAAGATGGATTTTTCATGCCGGGTCGTCTACGGTAATAAATGATGGTAAGTGGAAAGTAGCATTGCCAAAGCCACGTGTGCGATCGACTGAAATAGCGAATGGATCTGTCGGATGAAAGAGAAGCTGAACAAAACGACCTTGATTGAGATTCATTTCGAACAACGGCAAACATGTCAGCCGAGAAAAAAACCTAAATTTAACATTGTTTTCACGGTTTCGATGCTAAAAAGTATTACTATAGTAATATCTACAATCCTTAAAATTGTATTTCTTAGTTCCTTTCGAGGGGACTCAACTCTCAAGATTGAAAAACCAATTTCTGAAAAGGGAAATTTTGACTCAACTCTCAAGATTGAAAAACCAATTTCTGAAAAGGGAAATTTTTTTTAGAAATTTTCTAAAATTCCCTACCATCCTAGTTAGAGATGGAGAAAACAGAAAATTTACTAAGTGTTTAAAAATGGTACTCTACTGATTTTGTTACAAACTTACTTAAAAAGCTGTGCACTAGAGAAATAAGCGTGAGGAATCATTCTATCAGTAACGCTTTTAAGAGGGAAATTGGTGAAATGTAGAAAAAGCAGAAACAAATTTTATCCATCATAACAGAAAATTATTCAAGTGATACTTGACATGTCTTAGTTTCATTAAATAATACGCCAACTGAAATTTCAATAGATCTCAATTCCCTTAATACTAAAAAACATGAAACAATAAAATTGGTAAATCCTAACCGAATTACTTCACTGTCAGCTAATTTGGCCCGTTCAATGAGTGTAATCAATCGATCGTCAAAGCGAAACATTGATGGATCCAAATATGGAGTTTCTACAGGAACATAAGTGAATGAATAAGGCAACTGACATATAATACGTCTCCGTGTTTCCCTATCAGATCCTGTAACTAATATTTTTAGTTAAACGTCAAATATATGAATCCCTTTTATACTATCCATTACAAATACATTACTGGCTAATTACTAATTTTCCAATACACTTGTGTGTAAAAGTGAATGAAACTTCTGAATGAAACTGATGTGCAAAAATGAATGAAACTGATGTGTAAAAGTGAATGAAACTTCTGGACTTTCCCATATGAAGAAATCTATAGAAAATGTCCTATTTGTTATGCGGCTATGTCTTATAGTACTGCAACAAACAATTTGTTCAATAACCACGAAAGAATCGTTCACTACCCTGGAGCCATTTCATACTCTACACAGAGGCCTTCAAGACTCCCAAAGTGTCATTTATCAATTATTTAAACTATCCCTCAGCTAAGTTGTCGGGTATGCACTCCCTAAATTCCCTTAAATGTCCTATGAAGTTATTTTGCATAATTCAAGCATAATAAATTAAATAAAAGCATTTCAATTGGTAAATTCGAATAAATTCATCAAGATTAACCTCCTCGAGCATCAGTAAGTGCATTCTTCATACGCTGGTAAGCCACCAGTGCTTGTTGGCAATGTTGAATAGTGCAAGGAAAACGATTTGATGAAACATGAGCATACTTCAGTTCTTCTTGACATTTTTCTACCATTTTCAAAAAATTCGTTGAATAGCGATCGAATGCACCCAGGACATCACCTCTTTGCCAGTCCAACAATACGAGTAATAATGGGTAACTGCCAATTCCTGGGGTCGCAGCAAACGCCTCTATAAGAAATGCCATATGAACGCATGATCAAGTTAATAAATATTTTCGCAAACATAATATAGCTAAAACCAAGGAATTAAGGTCGAGAAACTGGTACCTTCGTTCACAAAACGGATCAGTATAATGCTTGGAGTGACCAACTGCATTTGCCACATTCTTAGCGAACGAAACTGTGCGAAAGTGTGCAAAAAATTGTCAACTTGAGTTGAATCTGTACATCGATGATAAAGGTACGCCAAAATCCGTTGCTTTATTCCTATAAAATCCTCAAATTTTATATTCACGTTCAGGAGTAAAAAAAGTGCTATTAAAAACTGCATTTGATGATTATTTATTTCATTATGAAAATCATTTAAACATCATAAAATAGATAACAAATATAGAACGAAAGATCTTCACAGGCTATTAGCTTGCCGAAAAGATAATACTTCGTTTTCGTCAATTAAGATTAAATCAAATCATCCGCAACATAACTGCTGAATAAAATCAAACGGAATTGTAAGAATGTCCACAGTCATATTCTTATTAATAGGCCTACATGCAAACGCCAATGTGAACTCCATTTTATTAGCATGGAGTCACCATATGAGATGCTGAACACTACCAGATTCGTGCCATATAAAGAACTCATGAAATGAAACTGTGTAGTAACACTATCTCATTGGTTTTCCAAAAAATTATTAAATGATAAGAACTTGAGCAATAAGAATGTGATAAAATACCTAGGTAAAAATCTTCTTTTGATAGAAAATGACAAACATTCAACTGTTTCAAGATTCAAAGGACAATTAAATGGCGGAATAAAAACCAACCACTAAGGACAACATCTGTGGTAGGACTATCCGGACTTTTCTCAGCTGCCATTACAAGGTCTTCATCGTCAGCAAATAAATACCTGAAAATCCCACAAACTAAATTTCAAAATTTAAATAAAGCTCTTTATTAATATAGAAGAACTCAAAATGAATTTTCTGAATCTTTTCCAGATATACTTCTCAATTACTACCATATATATATATATATATATATAT